AAAAGAGTCGCAGCTCCAGACGGAGGGGCGTGTGGAGTCTGCGGTGAGTGGGTCCGGAGCCTCCGTTGGGGAATAAGAAAGTTCTGGAGGTGGACGGTGGTGGTGGTTGTACAGTGAATGTACTGAACGCTCCTGAACGTGAGAAAATGATCGAAATGGCACGTTTTATGTTATTCTTCACCATAGTTAAAACAGAGACGGGGAGGGAGGGAGGAGGGAGGGAGGAAGGAGGGAAGGAGGGAAGGAGGGAGGGAGAAGGCAGGTCAGTTGCTGGGAGCCGCCCTTGATGGAGGGGCGGGGCCTCTGCCTTTGGAAGCAGCTGTCATCCTGCCATTAAATTCGAGCATCTGAGTCCCGTTTGCACAACATGATACAGGCTATGGCACCTTCAGCCCCACGAAAGTGGGCCGCCCAGGCCTGGGGCGGGGTGCGGCTGGCGGCGAGGCGTTCTCTCGGCCGTGGGGTGGCTGGGGTTGTCCGCCCCTGGCCACCGGAGCAGGATTGCTTTTTCATCCACGGGGTGGGTCCTGGTTATGCTGACTGGACAGCCTCCTCCTCCGAACCAGCACCGACTGAGGCCCTGGTGTGCCAGGCTGCCTGGTGCCGGGTGTTCCTGGCGGGTAGGACCGGACTCTTGTCCCGAAGACCCCGTTACGGGTGTGAGCGGACAGCACGCGTTCGTGCGGACAGGCGTTCCCTGTGGCACGGGCTGCGTTTCGTTGCTCTGAATACTAGACGCCTAGTTGCCTCAACTCCAGTGTTTGAAAAGTCTGCTCTGTCCTCTCTCTCCTGCGACTTCTGTCCCAGTTAAAATGCCCGGACGCCCACGTGTCTTTCCTGGGCTCTCGATTCTGTTCCCAGGTCTCCTTGCCCGTCCTGGCTCCAGCACATCGTCTCGTCACTGCGGCCTTTACATGTCCGCCCCGGGGGTGTACTGCTGGCCTCCGCCCGACTTATTTCCAAGTACAATTTAGAATTGGTTTATTAGGTTCCATCAAATAAAAGTAAACCCCTCTGGGTCTCTTTTTTGGGACTGAAAGAATGGATTTGTTTGGGAGAATTGAATGTTATGGTCCACGAATGTGGTATGTTAGTTGGTTGTTCTGTTTTCAGCATCTTATGGCGTTTCCAGCTCCGAAATAAAAGATCGGTGTATGTCGCTTGGAGCTAGTTGTCCCCGGTCCCTGCGTCTCTGTCCGTTTAGCTCCAGGTAAAGCCATCCCTCGCCGTAACAGACTGGGTGTAAGCAGGATGCTTTGGTTTGGCTGCTCCTCTCCAGTCTCAGGGGAGGGGGTGCCATTGGGGTGAGGCTCGCCCAGAAACTGGGAGGAGAGAGGGGAGGTTAATGGCCATTGATCCTGACAACGTGAATACATCACAAGTGACTTACTGATACTAGGTTGCATTATGTAACAAGATAATTTAAATCTGTGTTTCCAGACGTGACCGTCCCGTGTGGCCAGACCACTTAGGAATTCCTCTGCTGTTATATCAGAGTGGCCACAACGACTTCTCATAGGGGAAGGAGGAAACTTAACTCCATGTTTACTGCTAGAAACCAAAGCTTTGTGGGGAGTCTGAACTTTATAGAGGCGGAGAGGATGGGGACACCAGGCACACCTGTCTACCTGGTTTTCCAGCCTCTTCCCTCCTTCCATTTCTGCAAGACACTGAGCTTCCCGGGGCATTCTTACTGAAGTCGATTTATTTGATGGTTGACTTTGCCATTCTGGGCTCTTCGTCCTTAAGCGTCCCTCTGCTTCGCCTGTCCCGGAGGGCGTATAATGAGCGAGAGAGCGAATGAATCAAGACTTACTACCCGGGGTAATATGTGCGTTTGTTCAAGAAATATTTATGGGGAATCCGCCGTCTGCGGGACCCTGGAGTTACACAGAGAAAAAGGCAAGGAGTCTGTCTTCCGGAAGCTTCCGCTTCCAGTGTTCCTCTGTAGGTTCGTCTGGGCTTTTAACAGACCCGGTCGTACCGTCCACCTACTATGGCAGGCTTTTCTTCTTCACAGCCCTCTCCCCGCCCTTCCCCTGCTGTGGCGACTGGCCTGCGGCCCAGCAGCCGACAGACGGGGCCCAGGAGCTGCTCTTTCATTTAAGAGCGTCCTTCTGTTCCTCGTTGGCAAATTTCAAATAAATCGTGAATGGATGTTGAATTTTATGAATGCTTTTTTCCCCCTACTCTTTTGAGATGATCCTAATTTTAAAAACTTTTTTACATTCCATTTTTGAAATACAAATCAACGTTATTGAGATACAATTACATGCAAAACACATCCATTTTAAGTGTATAGTTACGAATTTTAAAAAATGTCTGCATCCTTGTGACGCTCATTCACACCGAGGTGATAATCAAGGCGTAGAACATTCCGAGGGTCCAGAAACTTTCATGCCCCTTTACAGTTGACCCTCGCTGTGGGTCCCCTGCCCCGTGGCATCCGCTGACGTGCCTTCTGTCAGCGTAGATTGGTTTTTGCCTTTTAGAAAATTTCATATAAATGGAATCATGCAGTAAGTACTGCTTTATATCTGGCGTCTTTCCCTGAGCTGTTTTTAAAATACAGCCATCATGTTGCCTGTACTAGTAATTCATCAATAGAATAAAAGTATTCCCTTGGAATGTTGTACCATAATTTGTTCACCAGTTAATGGACATTTGAGTTGTTTCCAGTCTGGGACTATCATAAACATTTGTATACAAGTGTTGATATGGTTACGTGTCTTCATTTCTTTTGGGTAATTATCAGGTATTGTTAGATGGTGCGGTGCGTATACATTGACCTTTATAAGAGATGGCCAGACTGTTCTTCCCCGTAAGCGGTTGTGTCATTTGCCATTCCCAGCAGTGATGTGTGAGAGCTAACTGTCCTCATGCCCTTTTGCCAACCCTTGGTATGGCAGGTCCCTAATGTCAGCCATTCTAGCAGGTGTGGGGTGACGTTTTGTGGTTTCTTAGCATTTCCCTGATGACTAATACTGAGCATCTTTTCATGGGCTCATTAGCCATTTGTGTATCTTTTTTTGCGAAGTATCATTTTAAATCTTTTACCTGTTTTTAAAAATAGGTGTGTTTTACTGGGTCGTAAGCTTTTTTTATATGTATGTATTATGCATGCAAGTCCTTCATCAGGTATATATGTGGCTTTCAAATATTTTCCCTCAGTCAGTGGTTTGCCCTTGTCATAGTGATATCTTTTAAAGAGTAAAAGCTTTTCATTTTGATGAAGTGCACTTTATTATTGTTTTATTTTACAGTTGATACTGTCTGTGTTCTAAGAAATCTTTGTCTGTCCCGGGGTTCATGAAGATTTTTCTCTTTCGTTTTCTTCCAGAAGTTTTATAGCTTTAGCTTTTACTTTTAGGTCTGAAATTTGTTTCACATCAATTACTTTTATCGTGTTAAACCAGACCTTCCATCCCTGGTGTCTGCCCAGCGCTGACACATTGTATTGTTTTCAACACGGTGCTGGATTCCGTGCGTTACTTTGTTTCCGCATCTGTGTTTGCAAGTGAGACTGGTCCATGATCACCTTGTCAGGTTTCACCATAAAGGTTTCGCTAGCCTCGTGAAACGAGCAGGGCGCGCGCCCTCCTAACTGTCTTCCTGATAAGTTTGAGTTGGCTGGGCAACTGGTTCTTCGAGCCTGGCTGGGAATCCCTGGCAGCGCCGCTTGGACCTTGAGTTGATTGTGAAGTCTTGACCGTAAAGACGAGGTCCATGAAGCTTGGGGGGCGGCATGTCTCAGGCGGCCCAGGGTCGCGTGTGGCAACGCAGGTGAGCTCGTCAGGAACGACAGAGACCAGAGATGGGAGTGGGACGTCTTTGGGGCTTTACGCCTCCTGGGGCTGTGATCTCCCCGTCGGTGTTAGAGGCGTGTGGCACCGTCAAAGGTGTTTGGAGAGACCGCGTCTGCCCCAGGGACTCCCAGGCTGTGGCGTTTGGGCAGGATCGGTGGGGCCCTGGAGGCTCACCGCTTGTGACGAGCACGGTTGAAGGTCTGCTGGGCAAAGCCAGTTTGAACAAGGGGAGCCTGCCTCAGCCCGCTCCCCGTTCTGGGGAAGGGAAGGATGGGGTGAATTCCGGAGTTGCTTCCTCAAAGTCGCCCGAGGCTGCGCCCTAAGGAGGAGCCCTTACAGCGGGCTGGGCTCAGAGCTCACCCCCTGGGCGGTCTGTCAGATGGCCTGCCCCCGTCCCCTCTGCCAGGACCCGTCTCTTCCTCTTTACCACATCCGTGAGCTGTGTTTCCTGATGACAGATTCTGCGTCCCTGGCACCAGGTTTTCCTTATAAGGACCCCGGCCGGGCAAGCACCATGGCCCTTCTTGTCTGTGCTTTAGTAGGCGCCATGTGTGGAGAGAGGCAGGCGTTTGGTGAGTCGAATGGAAATGCCTCAGCCGCTGTCCCTCACCCCGAAACGCTGGCCGAGCTGTGTGCCACATGGGCTCGCGCACAGAGACACTCGGCGCTGAGGAGTGGCGGTGCCGTCCCTCCAGCCACAGGACAGTCAGCCGTCCCTGGTCATCTGCAGAGCGCTTCTGTGTGCCCCTGCCAAGCCGGGCAGGCTGGCCAGGGGGGGCCAGGAGGGGACGAGCGCAGAGACAGAGCAGTGTCTTTAGGCTTGCGGGGAGTCTGCCGCCGCGATGCCTGAGGAACAGACGGCACCCAGGTCTTAGTGACAAACAACATGCACCGATGGACACGCATTCCCTACAGGGGGCTGTGCTGTGACTGGAGTCCCAGCCCCGCTAGCCCCTTCCTCCACCCCGGGGAGTTCTGGGAGCCTCTGTCCTCGGGGAAGATGGTCTCCAGCGTGTGCGTGGAGAGAGGAACGCGCCTGCACCCACTGAAGGTTCTAGTTTGCTTCTTTACAGAAGGAAGTTGGAAGTCACCTTACTAAAAAGAGCCACAAGTCTTATAAAATTGCCCATCATCTGGCGCAGGAGAATGTGTTTGACGTTCTGACATTCTGCTCAAACTCTTCTCTCGTTCCAGGGAAATAGTGGAGCACATGGTCCAGCACTTTAAAACACAGATCTTTGGGGACCGGAAGCCAGTGTTTGATGGAAGAAAGAATCTCTACACGGCGATGCCCCTTCCGATCGGGAGGGAGAAGGTAAGATTGTGGGGGGCCGGGACGGGGTCGGTGGGCGCGTCACCCTGTGCTCACTGAGACACCATCCAGGGCCCTGAAGGCCATCGTGCCCCCCCACCCCCATCCACCTAGGAGGGAGGTGCCCGCTGGCCCTGCGCTCCACCCCGAGACCCGCGAGGTCTGCTTTCTGTGATGGCGGGTGAGGGTCTGTGGCCACACGGGAGGATGTCTGGAAGCCACTCAGCATTTAAGTGTACAGCACAGACAGCCGTCCGTGCCACACGCCATCACCCAGCGGGAGCCTGCCGGACCCGTGGGGGTGGCGGGGACCTGGGGAAAAGCATGTCACGTGTACGTGGGCCCGAGTGACGACAGCAGTGAAGCGAAGCTGACGGGCGGTAGCCAGTGACGCACCTGAAACACCGTCGTGAGTCAGTCACCTTGGGAGTGGAACGGTGGTTGTATTAAAGTGCCACCTTTCGTCGTTATTCTTATCGTGGCTTTATTTAAAACGTAATACAATTTCTGCCCAGAAGTCGTCGCCTCTTGGCCCATCTTTCAGCAGATGGGCTGCTGCTCCGGGGTGATTGTGGGTGTTGTTTTCAAGAGCAGAGGCTCAGCTCAGGAATAATCTATACGCACACTTAAAAGACAAAAAGTACCTACCCCAGTGAGGACAGAAAAGCTGGGTCCCTTAGAGGACAACCCACACAGTCAGCTTCCTGAACCCCAGGTTGCCGAGAAGGAGCTCGGAGCTTAGAGGGTCTCAGACTGCTGTCCGGTGACCTGCACGGTCTCTGTAGGCGTTCAGTTTTTGCTTTTGCATTTTTGTGCTAATCTTAAGAAGCCTAAGCTCCTTTTGCCCGTCTGGATGGCCAGCAGGTGGTTTTGGCGCCCAGCGGTCCAGCTCGGAATTGCTAGGCTCTGATAAGCGTTGAGTTCTGACGGAGGGCTGACGGCAGGCGGCCGTGATAACGGCTCCGTACTGAGGGCTCCCTGGGTGATTCTCAGAGGTGGCGCTGGCGCCCGGCTGGGCACTGCCTGGCCCAGGGCGACTGACGTCGGCGTTCCGAGTCGGAGGGAGTGGCAGGACCATGCCCCGGTGGGCCGAGCAGGGTCGGTTGCCCCTTGCAAGGTAGCATGCTGTGCATTTAAAATCGATAAAGCTTGGTGTTTAATTTGTGCATTTGTTTTTGTTTAAAGTTTGTGTAAGAAAGAGAAGCATAAGGAGTCTGTCGACAGTTTCCTCTGTACAGGTTTATAATCGGGCAGGAGGAGGGGCGTGGGAGGCAGTGCGGTACCCCCATCTGAGACGCGTTGCTGTAGACGGTGACAGACAGCACAGCTCGCGGGCTGAAGCAGAGCTCATTGCAGTCCTGGCTCCGCCCTTACTCGTGGTGGCACCTCGGGCCGGCCTGGCCGCCTCGCCCTGCCAGCCACAGCGGCCGCACCTGTAAGACGCGGAGCTTGCGTAGAAACGACCTCCCAGGTCTCCGCGCCAGCGGAACGAGCGCGTGCACCCCAAGGCGAGTGTCTCCACCTTACAAGCGTCCTGTGGCCCTGGGCCCCTGTCACCTGCAGGGGCTGATTCAGGGTCCGAGGCGTCTGCACCTCTAACCAGTGGTCCCGTCAGACTTGGAGTCGCCAGCATCTCGTACTTCGCTGCGTCTGGGGTGTAGTGCGCACTCGGCAGGTGCTGCTGGTTGCTGTTACTGGGCTGAGGGGCCTGCAGCTCGCCCTAACCTCGGTGTTTCTGGTGTGCCCGATGCCACAGTAGCCTTCCCTAGGTGCCGCCCAGTACCTAGTGGGCGCCTCGTGTCTCGTAAGTTTAATCCCAACCGTCCTTGTCCTGTTTTCAGGTGATCTTAGAGGACCTGCCCAGAGCCACAGCGTTTGGTGAGCGGGGGGTCTCCTGATTGCAGACCGCTCCTGCCACTCATTCTTAAGGTTCTGTCAAATATTTGTGACACACAGAAACGGACCTCTTCGTCTGAGAGCTGGAATGGGGTGTTACCTCTTTGCTGTTCCCGTGCACTCACATCTTGCGGCCAAGTGCCACCATTTTTTTTGTTTTGTTTTATGTTTGCTCTTTTTCTATAAAGTTTTGCTTTTTTTTTTTTTTTTTTTTTTGGTATTGTGGGCACTTCTGTAGTAAGAGGGCAAATCCTGTAGTGTTGTGTTAACCCTGTGTCTGCCAGCGGCTGGATGGGGGCTGCAGGTGGCTCTTGTCCAGGTCTGTGCACTCCCTCAGAGTGTCCTGTGTCCCACAGCCCTTACTCAAGGAAGGCGCCCCTTGTCATCTGCTCTTAAGCTGTCCTACTGGAATCCTAGCCCACCCGCCTGATTCCAGCCCCTGTGTGGAAGGAGAGGTCCCTCCCCTTAGGGCTGAGAGTCCACCCAGGCCAATGCCTCGCTTCTCAGACTGGGAGGCAGAGGAGGCTGCACACGTTGCTCAGGATTTTGGATGTAACGGCTAGGTCTGTTTTAGCAGTGACACGATGGGATTTGCGAGACCGGAGCCCTGGGCCTTCGCTCACGCCCCAAGTCTGCAGTTTCCTGGGCGGCAGCCTCTCTTCGTTTATTCGGGGAGGGCGTGAGCGTCTCCTCCTTAGAAGAAGGTGGCACATTAGGCCAGATGCGCAGTGCAACTTGAATTAGTAAAGCCGCTGCACGGGAGGCATTCGCCGTGGGGGAGGCGGCCTTGCATGAAGCCCGCTGCTTGGCTCCCCTACCTGTTCACCCCTCTGCCCTGGATTGGGCCACAGGGACCAAGGTGGTGACGCTTCTGCACTTGGAGGGTCAGGAGGTTTGAGGATAGGAAGGAGGGAAGGGCAGGAATGGGGGGCGCAGGGAGCCATCCTTGGGGACCCCCCCTTGGGTGGTGTGCAGGTAGAGGGTCCGCTCAGTCTGTCTGTTCTCATTTGGGGCTAAACCTGCTGGCTTTCGGAGCTGAGTGTCCCTCCAGTGACGCCGCGTTTGTCAAGGTACCTTGGAGCCAACCAGCCCATTGAAGGCAGGTGTCACCTAAACCTAACGGAGCAGCCGCTTCCTGTACCTGCTGGTGTTACCTGCCAAGGGTGACGCTGAATTCCCAGCACAACTCTTAAGTGTGCTGGCGCGGCCGTGTTTTTCTTCCTGGATAACTTGGAGGGGCGATGCTTCCATTTTTGAGATTCGTTGCTGTGCAAATCATAGAAGCCTTGAGCTGTCAGCTCTCTGTGTACATCTGAAACAAGATGTTACCTGCGCGTCCCCTTCTGCAAAGGGCCCGTAACGTGGAGCCTGGCGGTGGCAGCCCCAGGGCCCTGCCCCACGCTCACTCCTTCCTCAGTGACAGATGGCAGTGAGTTTACGGGGCCTCGGCCTGCACGGCAGCCACGTTTTGGACAAGAAGCCCCCATTGGAGACGCAGCTGCATCTGTGCTCCTGGCCCACACTCAGCCTCCCGTGTCCCTCATGGCGTGGCTTCCTGTCCGCGTCCTAGCCGTGTGGTGGCAGCAAACCAGGACGCTTCTCATTGCAGGTCTGTCACCTGGTGACTTTCACACAAAGGGACTCGAGTGTGTGGCTTAGGCCTGTGCAGCTTGATCCTCACAGTGGTCAGCGTTCTCTAGGCCCCGGATCGGTGCCGTTTGCTAGTAATTCGGTCGTCCGTGCTCAGAAGACGCCAGTGTAGTGTCCCGTGTCACGGGTGCTGGCAGCCTCGGTTGGCACAGTGTTCTGTGAGGTGGACGGGCTACCCTCCCGTCCCACAAGTGCACACGGGGAGCCCGGTGGAGCCACGTGCCTGTGGGCAGACTGTAGGAGGTGACAGGGCTGGGAGCACCACGTCCTGGGTACCCCCAGTCAGTGCCCTTTGGGTGCTGTGTCCCTGGGACCAAGAGCTTCAGGCTGTTTGCAGACAAATGTCTTGGTGCGTGGACCGACACTGCCAGCCAGCAGCCCAGGCAGACACGCAGACTGTTCTCAGCCTTGTGTCACAGCCGAAGCCCAGCGTCAGCCTGCCCCACGGGGTGTGACATTTCTGCCAAAATCGCCATCGTCCCTAAGCTGTTAGATGCCCGCACCAGTCAGCCTCTCGAGACACCGTGTCTGGCGGGAACGTTGTAGATCCTGGAGCTTATTCTCTTCCCTTTTTATGGGGGCCAAGAAGGGACTGGACTAGAATCTAGTTAAAAATATGAGGACCTTTTACTAAAGGAAAACACCCCCCTCCGAATCCTGCCTCGGTTCGGGTAGAGGGGCTTGCGAAGGGTGGCGTCAGCCGGCGTCACCTCGGCCCTCAGGCTCGCCACGTGCTCCGGGGCCGAGGGGCGCCTGCTGTGGAGTTGGCCCGGCGTTCTGCGGCCACCTGTTCCGGATCCTTGGGGTACCGTTTCAGAACAGGTGGGACCACTTGCTCCCTCCTCTGCTGCCACCCTGAGGTCCCACATTCTTCTTTCACAGACGACCATCTTCCCACGTTTGACTGGGAACGTGTTTGCTCAGACAAAGTTCGAGGGGATCGCAGGGTGCACGCCCAGCCGCTCCCAGAGCTGTCAGCGTTTCGCTGTCTGTCTTATCACATGTCTGTTGAGAAGACTGTTCGTGATTCAGTCACGGCAGAACTAGCTTCGACTCTTAATGGGCCCAGAAGTTGGGGACCCCCAGACCCACTGCAGCTTTCTCAATGCCATTGGGGAGGACGGCCCAGGCCCCCCACGAGCTGCCACGCCCCCTTCCTTTGCCGGGGAGCAGCCTCAGCATGTCCATGTCCCCTCCCTGGGCCCGTCCTCAGAGGGACTGACCCGCCGCCCCGGGCCAAGTAGCACGACCCCCCTTTGGCCCCGCCTCCTCGGGAAGACCTGTCTCACCACTTGCCTTGCCCGTGGCCACTGGCATGGCGTCAGGCAGAGTGAGCACTAGACACGCGTGGATGGAGAAGTCCCCAGTCCTTCCTGACACTGTGCCCGTGCGTGTGCGGGGCGTGCACACGCCCACACGTGTGTGCCCGGATGCAGGACTGAGTGTCCCACTCTGGGGGTGTTCTGGAAGCTGAGCCCCTGGGGAGCGTGAATGACCGTGTGATTCGCCCCTCACAGGTGGAGCTGGAGGTCACGCTGCCGGGTGAGGGGAAAGACCGCATCTTCAAGGTGTCCATCAAGTGGGTGTCCTGCGTGAGCCTGCAGGCGTTACACGATGCACTTTCGGGGCGGCTGCCCAGCGTCCCCTTTGAGACGATCCAGGCCCTGGACGTGGTCATGAGGCATCTGCCGTCCATGAGGTGAGGGCCGTGCACGAGGCGGGGGACCGTCCACGAGGCAGGGACCGTCCAGAGAGCGAGGAGCGTCTGCTCTGACCCTGGCGTTACCTGGAGAACACGGATGCTCCATCTAAGGACGAGCTGGGCCCGGGGTTGGGGTGACGGTTGTGCAGGTGTTTCTATGATGAGGGTAACAGCAGGGCCAACGTGGGGAGAGAACGTAGTGTGGCCTCTGTCGCCTTCGCACGGGGGCCGGTGGCAGGGGGCCGACGTCCCAGCTCTCCCACCATGCGAGGGCCTTTCAGGGCTGGAGATCACACAGATGCTTCCGACTTCTGTGTTCATCTGTGGGGTCGCTGTCTTGCCACAGACCGCCACATCCGAACTTGCTGGGACGGAGGGTAGGTGATGCTCTAATGGCTCATCATCTTCATGCTAAACTATCCCAATTCCGACCAAAACTCCGAGGTTTGCGGGGAGAGCGCGGCTGCCTGTGTCCCTTCGTGAGTGTGAGAAGGGCCCCCGAAGCACTGCGCCTGGTTTTAAAGGGGACCCTGGTGGTCTCGGTCTTCAGACTTGGGTGGCGATGACCGAATATAGAGCAGGCCACCCCTCCTGGCAGAGTCTGCCCTTCCTCACCCTCCCCGGGCCCCCAGCACATAACCTGTTACCACTCGGAACTGTTGATGGCAGGAAGGCGGCAGACGCAACAAGAAAAATCTAGAAGAATGTTTGCCAAAGTGTTGAATACATTTGAGGGAGTAGCACAGATTACTGTGATTTTTATTTTCTGGATTCTTTTGAATGAGTTACTGTGTTTCTTTTCTAATCAGGAGGGAACTCTGCTTTCATTCTGGGAAAATAACAGAAAAAGAGGCAGGATCAGTAAGGTCGGGCGAGTGAGAAGGGCCGTGTACCCCAGCTGGTCGACGGTGCCACCGGCAGCCAGGACACGTCACTGCTTCAGTGACACGTCTCCTGTCCGGAATCCTTAGCGGCGTCGCGTCCCGGTGACCAGGCACTGTCCGTGCCACTGCACTGGGGGACGCGCCTGCCGCTCGCAGGTGGTCTCCGGCTCACAGCCCACCGACCCTCAGTGACAGTCCCCCCAAGGGGGCGTGAGCCACCTCAGGCTGGGGGGGACCCGGCTCGCACGAGAAGGCTCTCTGTGCCTCCACCCCGTGTGCAGCGTTGCAGCGTCTCTCGCTCTCCCTGCGTCGAGGTCGTGTGTCCCCAAGTCTGCGCTGCGCACGGCGTCCCTCCGAGTCCAGCGTGGGCCTGGGCGGAGGGGTGTCTGACGACCGCACGGAGCAGAGGCAGGACGGCCCGCGCGAGCCTGCGTGATGGACTCGGACAGACAGCGGCCGGGGCTGCCCGGCTGCCTTCCACACGGGTCTCTCTCGGCAGGTACACCCCCGTGGGCCGCTCCTTCTTCACCGCGTCCGAGGGCTGCTCCAACCCCCTGGGTGGGGGCCGAGAAGTGTGGTTTGGCTTCCATCAGTCCGTCCGGCCTTCTCTTTGGAAAATGATGCTAAATATCGACGGTAAGTGTGGCCCGGTTGTGTGCGGCGGAGCCGGGGCCGGCTGGCGGGCCAGGACCTGGGGAGGGCCAGCTCCGAGCACGGCCCGCGCCTGAGCCGAGGTGCCGCGGCTCCCCTGGCGTGCCTCACCTGAGCGTCCTGTCAGGGCAGTGGTCCTGGGTAGAGCAGCGAGCCCCCCGCAGGGCCACGGCCGCGGTCGTGGGGACAGCCTGGGGTGTCTGACGGCTCCGGAGGCTGCACGGGTGTCCGCTGGGCGGGATCGGGGTTTTTGGGGTGGTGAGTGGACGTCCCCCTCACCTTTCATGTGCGTCCTCTGCCTGGTTAGTGCGAGCACAGGTCGCCCGGTCTGTGGCTTTCTGGATCCTTCAGGTTGGGGGTCACTGCCCTTCTCGGGGGACTCGCTTTCTCTCCGTTGGGGCACCAGGGGCATGATGAACCTCAGATCTAGGCCAGACACCCAAGCCGTACGGGCCTCGCGCTCTGCTGGGTGTTTTCCAGACCTAGCTGTCGTTGCAGAGCCAGGCTTTAGACTCCGCCGGCCTCTTGCTGTTGCCCCTGACCAGAGGGGGGAGCCCGTGACCGGGTGGGACCCGCCCCGCCCCCACCCCGGCTCTGTCTCACCTCCCAGGCCCCAAGGTGAACTCGACGGAGAGTGAGGACGGAGCCAGGTACGCTCCTCCCCCGGCCCGCGGCGGGCGCCCCGGAGCCGTCGGTGCTCGGCCGTGTCGCGGGCACCGTCGGGCCGCCCCGGCTCACGCTTCTCTTCCGTTGCTCCCTTTCCCATCTCCAGTCTCAGCAACCGCGTTTTATAAGGCACAGCCAGTAATCGAGTTTGTGTGTGAAGTTTTGGATTTTAAAAGTATTGAAGAACAACAAAAACCTCTGACAGATTCCCAAAGGGTCAAGTTTACCAAAGAAATCAAAGGTTAGTAACTGCCCGGGGCTTCTGGGGTCCTGCTCCTGCCGCACTTCCTGAGTCTTGGGGTGCGGCAGAGTCACTGTCAGACGCGTTAGCTCGGAGGCGAGTCGCCTCCAATCAGAGCATCCTAAGCGAGCGGCTTTCTGTGTGGGGTGAGGCGCGGGTGGTGGCCAGGTGACGTCACCGCCGTCAGTCGGCACCCGAGGGCAGCAGCAAGGTGGGGGTGTCTCTCGACCTCGTAGATGGCGGTGTGCCTCCTCCCCGCGCTCACCCCTGGCCCCGTCACACCCACCCCGCCTGACCGCCACCCGAGCAAAGTGCCCTGGCCTGGGCCTTCTGCCCGTCGGCAGAGAACTGGCAGGTGCCCATCGCTCTACGGCCCCCTGCACCTGTCCCTTCTCGAGGGCGTTTTAAAGGCCATCAGCGGTGCTCCTGCTAAAAATAATCCCAAAGGAGGCACAGAAAGCCGTGGTGGCAGCCACCGGCCTCCAGGCTGAGCCCACATTGTCCTCGTCTCTTTAAGAACAGTGTCCCAACTGTGGCCTTGCATCCTCATGGGTGACACGGGGCCAGCCCGGGTGTCACCCTCCCCCAGCTGCTCCAGAACGCCCTGACGTTCTGGATGTCGGGATGGTCAGGAGGTGGGCCTGGACCCCAGGCCAGGTGGGTTGGACGCTGAAGCGCGCTGTCCTGTGTCGCCAGGTCTGAAGGTGGAGATCACGCACTGCGGGCAGATGAAGAGGAAGTACCGCGTCTGCAACGTGACCCGGAGGCCCGCCAGCCACCAAACGTAACCGCCGCCCCCCATCGGCCCTCAGGGTCCCCGCCGCTGTCACTCCGGCCCTCAGGGTCCCCGCCGCTGTCACTCCGGCCCTCAGTGTCCCCGCCACTGTCACTCCGGCCCTCAGGGTCATTGGGCGCCCTGCCTCGGGGACGCCGACTCTTGGGGAAAGGATGATCCCATCCAGTTTTTAGGATCCCAGAACTACTCCTGCAGCTCAGTGGATCCCAGACTCTGCCTAAGACAGGACGGGGGGCCCGCCTGTGTGGCCGGGCTGGGGGCGCCCTGTCGCCTTCCCCTGGGTGATACTGGGGAGACGGTCCTTTAGTCTTTAGTCCTCGAGGCTGGGCCAGCGCTGGGGGGTGGCAGGGCGTCAGCGGGCGCTGCCGGATTCGCGGGCCCAGCGGGACCTGCCGCCTGTGCCGGGCGATCTGCCCCGAGAACACTCGGCGGCGGCGCTGGCGGCTGTAGTGTTTACCCCGAGATAACTCGGGGATCACAGTCCTGACTTCACCCCCAAACTTTGCCACAGGTTATCTCGCTTTCGTTCCTGTTTTCATGTTGCTCTAGGACAGCGATGGTCTTTGGAAACAAATGACATCGTTTCTGTTGATGACATTCTGTGTTTAGTAATTTAGTTGCTGAACGTGGCAAGCCCTACGCAATGTCATATGAACACTGGGGGCGAGCCACGCTGTTTTTCTGAATGGGAAACGAGTTAATGGTTCGACGTGCAACTCCACGTCATCACTGGCCACAAGGACTCAGGGCCGTCTCAGGCTGTGTGTTCGTTTCGGGGAGAAGTGATGGACTTGGCCCCGGGGCCCCGGGGACACATGCTTGTTTATTTCACGGTCATTCCATGGACCATGCCTGGTCGGTCACTCGGCACTGGAGACAGGCTGTCCAGAGCCCGCGGAGCAGGAGGGCGAGAC